ATATAATGACTCAGTATATTCTTTCCATCTTCTTTTAATACTTCCTGGATCATTTAATATTCTGCCCAAAGCATCCTTGATTACAGCAACTCTACGTTTACCATAGCTTGGATAGGGAGCCCACCAGTCTTTAAACTGATATTCTGTCTCTCTTTAGTACTTTAAAGAGATCCTTGACATAAGATTTTCCCAATGCAACACATCTTTTAATTTTTTGCCTGCTGCTACCATGCGTTTATATTTATAGTCATAAGGAGATCTGTCCTGAAGCACAATGCTGTGAGGGCTGTAATTCTATCCATAGAACTATAAGGAAGACCAGTTAGTAAAACTATTATTCAAATACACATGTCAATAACTACAACTAAAATTGAAGAAATTGTGAATTTTTACCAGCTTTTGCAGTGTGAACTCGATTGGAACTTGCAATCAAAATGCATCATAATAATTGGTGACCTCTGCAACTATATATATTTATCAAAGTTCGTAGAGTTTCCGGAAGTGGATGCCATTCCTGCTTCCAAATTTGATGAGTTTACAAATTTGATTAAATTACAAATGCTTTCAGATTTGACGAGATTAAAAAAATAATAATAATAATAATAATTGGTGACTGAAATGCCAAAGTTGGAAATGAAGGAATGGAGTGAAGGTTGAAAATTTCGGCCTTTCTTACAGAAATAAGGCTAGAGATTGTATGATATAATTTTGTACATTTGATGATTTATTCATTCCAAATGAACCTTTTTAAAAAAATACACTAAAACCTGGACCTCAGCTGATGTGCACAAATATCAAGTTGACGACATCTGGGGAAAGAGTTGATGGAGAGGTCCAATATCAGCAGTTAAAGCCAGGCTGGCAGTACAGTAGACCATCAATTATGTGAAAGTTCAAATTGAAACTGAAGAAAGTTAAAGCAAGTTCACAAAAATAAAAATATAGCCTGAGTCTATCTCAGCTGATTTTAAAGGTCATCTCAACAATAGATTTAACGCAGTGAGCATTTTTGACTGAAGACTAGATAAGTTATGAGGCGCTATTAAAGTCATTAATCTATGAAGAAAGCAAAAGGTTATTACAAAGATGGAGAAAAGATGTAAATGGATGTCAGAATAGGCTGGAACTTGCACTAACTAGAACTTAGCGCACAAAAACAAAGGGAAGAAATGCTGAAGTAAGAGCTAAATGGAAGATTTAAAGGACAGCTCAAGAAGATAAAGGATTGTAACAAAATATGCAAAGAGCTGGAGTTAGAAAACAAAAAGGAAGTCACTCAGTATTTCTCAAGCTGAAGGAATTGAACAAATTCAAGCCTCAAGCTGCAATGTTGAAGGATTCTGTGGACAAAATATTAAAATATGCAGGAAGCATCAAAAGAAGACAAAAGGAATTCAGAGTCACTGAACCAAGAATTGGCCAACATGGAATCATTTCAGCAAGTATTTTATGATCAAGAACCAACAGTAATGAAGGAGGATTTTCAAGCTACACTAAAGGTATTGGTAAAATATAAGGCCCCAGGAATTGATGAAATACCAGTTGAGGTGTTTATAAAAAGAGATGTAGTCCTGTATATGCTCCCTAGTTATGCCATGAAATTTTCAAGACAGCTGCTTGGCAAACTGAAAAATGTTCATATTGTTCCCATTCCAAAATAAAGCAATTCTGTTTGATCACGTTTTTCAGTCAGTATCATTAATATATCATGCAAGTAAAATCTTGAAGCTTATAAACAATTGGCTGGAACAACTGCTAGAAATGCAAGCTGGATTTAGAAGAGGCTGTGGCGTGAAGGGGTATCATTGATTATGTCAGATAGATCTTGACTGAAAGCAGCGAATACCCGAAGTTTGCTTGTGTTTTGTGGACTAAGCAAACGTATAAGACTATGTGGAACACAATGAATTATGGATAACACTAAGAAGAATGGGAACCCAGCACTTTTAATTATGCTACTGCAAAACCTATACATAGACAAAGATTTAGTTGTCTGAATAGAACAAGGAAACACTGCATAGTTTAAAATGAGCAAAAGAGTGTGTCAGAGTTGTATCCTTTCTCTGTACCTACCTATTCAATCTGTATGTTGTGTAAATAATTTGAGATGCTGAACTATATAAAGAAGAATGTGTTATGAAGATTGAAGAAAGACATATCCACAACCTGTATTATGGTCATGATATGACCTTGTTTGCAGAAAGTGAGAACTTGAAGAATTTACTCCAGAAAATCAATAAAGATTGTATCTTAACATCAAGAAAACAAATATCCTTCCCCTGGACCAATAGGAAACATCATGATATGGAGAATAGATTGTCCTGAACCTATAGGAAACATGATAGATGGAGAAAAGATTGAATTTGACCATGATTGCATTTTGCCTACATCAACATATTTTTTTTCTATAGGATATATGTTTAATAGATAGACCTGACTGTATTATGCTGAATAATTTCAAAATAGTATAGAAGCAAATCTATCATGTTACTATTTTTCATGAGTTTTAAAAAGGAAAAGTAAAATATCTTTTTCTTTACATTAAAATAAAATAGGCTGCAGTGAAATATCATGGTGACAGAACAAAGGAAGATTTAATAAGTTTTGCCATGCAGCATGTTAGAAGCACAGTGACAGAATTCAAAACAGGTAACTTTATTTTCTTTATTTTTTTAAGGTTACATTGAAATTGGTAGTGGAAGTATTAACATATTGGTCGTAAAAGTGATACTTAAATTATCTCTGCTAGGCTTCTTAAAAGGAAATTTGTCATAGTTACTTCTGCATTTAATAAATTAATTCTACTTACACAAAAACAAAGTGGAAAATGGGGAAGAGATGATGTTGGAAAATTCAAGTTTCAAAGTCCACCTAAATGGTTAATAAAACAAGGTGTTTTTTTCCATAAATACATTAAGCAGTAAGTTAATAACTTTACGAACTAGCTTAATTTTGAAGTTTAAAAGACTTATAACTTAAACTCATCAAATGGCATTAGTTCACAGCTAAAGGGATGTTCATCTCAGTCATTGAATACCAGTTGTTTTCATGTAAATAGTAAGACTGTACTATCTACTTCTTGCTTGATGAAAAATTTTCCTTATTGTCTTTTAAGGAAATTTTGTTAATGCTATACAGACCGCTTTTGCTGCTGGTATTGGCTGGCTGATCGCTTTTTGTTCCAAAGAAGGAGGTAATTTTATTTATTGTTTTAATAAAAAGACCATGATATTTAAATTTCAGGTGATAATTTTAACATTCTAGTATAGTTGATTACTCACTACTCAGAGCTGTAATTTCTACCCATAGTTACATTTTTAATTTAATGAATATTTACTTTTCCTAAGTTTTTCATTTAATGACTATTTTACATTTAGTTTACATATAAGTGGTTTTAAAATTAATTTTTAATGTATGAGTGGGGAATTTCATCAGATTACCTACACTTATGATAAATTATACTTCCAAGTAACAATAGATGGATTTGACAGTGTGCAAAGATAATTAGTTGTTGACAGGAATAATCCCTCCAGAGATAATAATTTTATTTAGAATTGTGCACTATGTGTCATTCTTTTGCATAAGAAAAATTAATACACATTTGCCTTATAAAATTATTTATTTGGAGTTGATAGCTTTCCATTTCTTAGAACTTTTCTCTCAGTGAATTTTCTTAAATTCTTTATGTTATAAACTAGGTCACTAATTGTAAATTCTTTTCACATAATTTGATTGATTAAAAGGTCCTAGTATAAAATATTTTTTAAGAAGTCTTAATTTATTACTACATTCTCATCTTTTAATCCCAGCATATGTCTTTTCCCTACACTTCATTTCTCAGCCTTTATGATACCATGTTTACAAGTACAGTTTTACAGCTGAAATTCATGAACCATATCACCCCAACAGTAAGGTCTGCTGGAAAAGAATTGCCTTGCAGCAAAAACCCACCTTAAGGTAGCCTCTCCTTGAGAGGTAGTCTTATTCTGGCCCAAGTTTTTTATTCTAATGCCCAAGTTTCTCTCAATCTATACATGAACACAACTTTAGAAACATCCTTTGACTCTTCACTGTAAAGAAATTAATTTGTCTTTGTAAGCTCTATATTGATATGAGCTCTCTTTTAATGTACCACATTATGTGCTAATATTAAATATTTCCAGGGCTTTCATAGAATTAATGAAAAACGCTACTAATATATTTTACTGTGTTTGAAGATCCTTTACATTTATTTATCATAAGTCTCATAAATTTTGTTTCTCCTAAATTCTGAGATTCTTTGAGTAAAAGAATTACCGATTAGAAAGAAATGAAAATAAGATCCTTAAAGAGGCACTTGAGAGAATATATTTATTTTTCCTGCTACTAGAAATCTTGAGGGGAAAGGGAAAGAAAATTAAAGAATGAGTTAGAGAGAGATTGATGGAGAGAGAGAGAGAGAGAGAGCTTTTGTGAGTAGAATGAGACATCTTATTATCTATCTGGTAAACTCAGTTCTCAGTATTTACTACTAGAGCCCAATTAATTGTCTTAGAGTTATCATGGTAATTTGGGAATGGTGAATGAAGCTGTAATATAATTGCCTCATAAGTTTTTTGGTTTTGCTGATTTTTCCCTCACCTCTAGATTGTTTGACTTCTCAGACACGACTCAAGCTAAGTGGCATGTTGGTAAGTATCTATCATTTTGTAAAACTGTAAGAAATTAATTTCAGATACATTCTTTGGTAGATTCTTGAACAAACATTAATTTATTTGTTTGTAGTTTCTTCTGGTTATGATACATTTATAGCTATAAATATGCTTCTGCCTAATTAGCTGTATTCCATAAATTTTATTATGTGGTGCTTTTATTCTCATTTTAAATATTTTGTTATTTAATTATAATTTCATCCTGGCCATAAGGGTTATTTATGTATTGTTGGTTTGGCTTCTTATAACCTTATTTGAAATTTATTGAACTACCTGAACCTTTTAGATTCAATGAACACTAATGAACGAAGGCCAGATGAGTTGTGGGAAGATATCAAGGGTATCATCCAGGAAGAGTGCAAATGGTCATTGCAAAGACAGAAGAGGAAGAAAAGAC